CTGGCCGCCGAGGGCCGGGCGGTGCACGTGGTGGACGACGCGGCCGTGCTGGGTGCGGAGGAAGCCGGCGCGTACAGCGACGCGGCCCGGGAGAAGGCTTTGCGCGGAGCGCTGCGAGCGGCGGTGGAGCGGCGCTTGAGTCGCCACGACGTGGTCATCCTCGACTCTCTGAACTACATCAAGGGTTTCCGCTACGAGCTCTACTGCCTGGCGCGGGCCGCACGCACCCCGCTCTGCCTGGTGTATTGCGTGCGGCCCTGGGACCCGAGCGGGGCGCCGCAGGGGGCGGGCGCCCAGACCGGAGCCCGGAACGCGAACGTGAGTGGGCAGCGGCGCGTCGAGGTGGGCGGGAGCCCTCCGGCGCCACGCCCCGGCGCCCCCCGAGAAGCTCCAGCAGCGGGCTCTGAAGGAAACGGGAGCCCCCAGGCCGAGGCAGCCACGGAAGCGGAGCCGGAGGAAACCAGGGCACTGAGTTCTGCACCGTCCGCGCAGTCGGCCCACCAGACGGTCAGTGCCTTTTATCCTCCTGAACTTCTGGAGGCCCTGGCGCTGCGCTTCGAGGCGCCCGACTCGCGAAACCGTTGGGACCGGCCGCTGTTCACTCTGGTGGGCTTAGAGCAGCCCTTGCCTCTGGCGGAGATCCGAGCTGCCTTGTTTGAGAACCGCGCCCCTCCCCCCCACCAAGCCACACAGTCCCAGCCCCTCGCCTCCAGCAACTTTCTGCATCAGCTGGACCAGATCACCAGCCAGGTAGTGGCAGGACTGATGGAAGCACAGAAGAGCGCTGTCCCTGGGGATTTGCTAACGCTTCCTGGTACTACAGAGCGCCTGCGATTTACCCGGCCTCTTTCCATGGCAGAACTCAGCCGACTCCGGCGCCAGTTTATATCCTACACCAAAATGCATCCTAACAATGAAAACCTGCCACAATTAGCCAGCATGTTCTTGCAGTACCTAAACCAGAGCTTTGCACTAACCTAAGCCAGGCTCCTTGTAACCTCCCACTCGGTGACCGTCTCTGTCGAGCCTTGGACAAGCCTATGCCACAAGTAGAGAGCAGAGACTGGAGAAGTAAGCACGGAGGATTCTGATACAGCCTTCAATACAAGAGATCAAAGTGGAAAAGGGTGCTTAACTTGGCTGCTCTGTGATTTCTTCTCTATCTGAGCTGTGGGAGCATGGACCTGATGGATGACTTTTAAAAAAACAATTGGGGGCAGGACCTTGAAGGCAGCACAGTCTTACATCTGCACAGTCTCTTTAGTAGCTACAGACATTTGCTGGGTACTGTACCTACTTTGTACTACTAAGAATTCTGGGTACTGGGGTCACAGGTGAATCCACTGGCTACGGAAGCCTTTAGGGTGCTCTGCCTCTAATGGAGGGGAAAGGGGTTTCTAGATTAAAGCATTCAAAACAGTGAAACCTCTCCTAAACCGAAATGGCATAAAGCAAGAATGCAATTGCCATTAATTTATATGGGAAAAAGTTTTTGAACATTCTCAGACACCACCACCACTCCCCTCAAAAATCACATAGCAAATAGCACACAAACTCTAGAATACCACTGTCATAGTGTTGACAGACAGTTCAAAGCTGGGATGGCCTGGGAAAGGAGCTTGGCAGCGCTGCTCTTGCTGTTCACTACCTCTAAGGCTCCTTCAGAGCAAACAGTGGTGCAGTTTTGCTCTTTGCCTTTTGAGTGTGAAAACAAATCCTCTTCAGATTTCTTTTAGTGAGAGCAGTGTGAATGCAGCTCTTTGGTAGAAGCAAACTTGAAAAGTGGAGGAAATCTGTATTTCCCCAATAAAGTCTTGTTTAAAAAGTCTACTGGGATCTCTTGTACGTGTGTTAGGTGTGTTTCACTATTAAAGATTAAACTTGCCAAGGTTCATATAATGCTTGTGTATGTCATTGTTGTGCCTTTACCTGAAATAGTAATTTGGTAGTACTTAGTTAATGGTTTGGTATGATCCAGAGTGATGGTATAATGATAACTTCCGTATCTGTTGTACTTCATTCTGTACCTCCAGGTGAATATTACAGATATTTAGAAATCTGTCATTCCTTCAGTGATATCATTAAACAAATAAGCACTTGCAGTCTGGTAAGCAAAGATGAGTTGTCTTGGATCATGAGAAACTAATGATGATTCAGAATTAGAACCAGGGTGAAAAGGGCGGTGGTCAGAAGACTGCTTTGGAAACCCAGAAGAGGAAAGGACCAATTAGCTGGTGAGGCTTCACAAAGGGGTTAGATTACATATATATATGCACACACATGTATATAATATATATACACACACACATGCCTGGCAGTTAATGCCGTGAAAGTGCTCAATAATAGTTTCTTCTCAGGAAGCTCCAAGACAAGTGGAAAGAAGTTGGGTAAATAATAGTTCATAAAAGATTCAGTGAGCCCTGGTGGTGTAGTGGATTATGTATTGGGCTGCTAACTACAAGGTCCGCAGTTCAGAACCACGAGCTTCTGCTCTAGAGAAAGATGAGGCTTTCTGCTCCTGCAAAGATTTGCCTCGAATCCACAGAGACAATCCTACTCTATCCTTTAGGGTCACTGAGTGGTTTGATTATGGCAATGAGTTTATGGTAGGGTCAATGGTAGCTGGTGATATGGTGAGAACACAGGTTGTATGATAGAGAAAGTCAATGGCTTCTTACACCCAAAAGAATCATAAAATCCATTCTGACTCATAGTGACCCAATATAGGGCTTCCAAGGTTGTGGATGTTTATGGGAGCAGACAGCTTCACCTTCCCCAGATCAACTAGTCGTTTTGAACTGCTGATCTTACCGTTAGCAGCCCAACTTCTCACTGTTGCCAGGGCCATTTGGCTTTCTACACATCGGCACTTGAACCCTAAAGAACTCCATCTGGCCAAGACTGGGAAGTTCCGGTGGGTTATATTGCTCATTATTTAAGGAAAGCTGTAAATCCATCATCCAGGGAGAAACAGCTTTGTGTTTTGGTATATTTATATTTGTATAATTAAAGCCGTGCTATAATTAATACTTTTGTGTTACAGCTTTTTTTATTACATTCATGAAAATGTGTAATTATTTTTAATGATTAAATCATAGCTTTTGGGAAGAGTATGATTTGCTGCTTTATATTCCACAGTCTTCTCCCTAGCTTGGCAGGGAGAAACCCAACTTTGCAGTGTATACAGAAGTTTCAGAATTTACCAAAAGCTTCTTGTTACAGTAGTAATCTCTTATTGAATATTTGGGTTGTCATAAGCCTTCCACAGTTGAAATCATGACATCAATATCCTTGTGCATAAATCTTTGTCTCAGGAAGATGGTCATTTTATAAGACTACATTTCAAGTAGAATGATAATTTCTTGGTTTTGTTTTTAAGTGGATTGCCCCTGATGGTGATTATCCATAAATCCTGGTGTGGCGCTTGCAAAGGTATGTATAAATGCTTAATCTGGAATCAAGCCTCAGGTGTGTTCTCAGATACCCAGGTTTAACAAATGCTGGCATTGTCTTACCCAACAGTGTTGAGTGAGTTTAAAGATTCATAACAGATTTCCTGTCATTAGGAACTTTGTAGTTCGGTTTGTTGGGTGTGGGGGTGGGGGTGGTCATAGGAAGGGTGAAGCAATTAAGGTACAGTTTGTGTAGAGTATAGGATTAAATGTACATATAATACACATTCAGTTAAATATTGAAGTTGAAATCATCGAGACAGGAGAAGTGTTTAGGTAAATCTTTTGCAGAAAGTAGGGACCCAGTTATCTGACTCAAATATGTATTCTTTGTGCTATACCAGTAACCTGTTATTTTCTGGCCAAGATAGTGATATGCTGCATTTAGTAAAATCTTAGTTGGGGAGTAGTGGTGGAAATCCAGTTTGCATCTTTAATTGAGACTCATAGCAACCCTATAAGGACAAGTAGAACTAGGGTTTCCAAGACTAAATCTTTATGGGAGCAGGCAGCTTCATCTTTGTCCTGCAGAGCAACTGTTGAGTTTGAACTGCTGACCTTGTTAGCAACCCACTAGGCCACCAGGGCTCCTTCCTAGTTGGAAAAAGTATAAAATTAGTATAAATGATTGGGGGATTTATGTGTGCATATTACTAGTGCAAGAGTGTTGTTACGCTTGTCTATTTAGTTGAAGGTACTGAAGTATGTCTGAGGGGGAAATTTTTTAATATGTATGCCATCTTATAAATTTAAAGTAATGAAGTAAATCACTCAAGGTCACATTGCTATGTGAGTAAGTCATAGAAACAGAACCAGAATCAGTCTTTTAACTTCTGGTATTTAGAATTAAAAACTCAGTTTCTATGAATAAACTCAGCAAATGTTCATGTTCTTTAGGGTTGGGATACGACAGGTTTTTTTTCAAACACAAAATCTCTTTTTCCCCCCTCCCTAGCTTTAAAGCCAAAATTTGCAGAATCTACAGAAATTTCAGAACTTGCCCATAATTTTGTTATGGTAAATCTTGAGGTAAGACTTAAAGAATTTTTCCTTTTTGTTATGATCTGAAAACTTCTGTTTTAGAGCTAACATCATGAGTGATATAAAAGCATATCTGGTGTAGTTGACTCCTGTGTCTCTTTCTTTTGACTTGTATTCATGAAGCTTGCATCAGATGTGTTAGAAGGCCACCCTGCATCCATTTATGGGAAGAATTAGAAGAGGAGAGATTGAATAAGATGGCTAAATTTTAAGGTCCCTTCATCTATTATGTATGGTTATGACATATTTTACGTCTTTGTATAGTTGAACTGAAGGTATAGTCACGTATGCAGATGACCAACATCTCGCAGAATTGGATCTGAGTACTTGGGTACTCAGGTATAGCCTTTCTGTTCTCTCTTGAGATCCTTTATATACTGTACTTCACTTAGACTGTATGTAAGTCTTAAACTTCTGGACAAGAATATCTAGAGTTGGAAGGGATTTTTAACCCAATGGAACTATCCTTATTTTATGAAAGAGCATCTTGTCTTTGAGGAGTTAGGTGATTTTGTTTGAGATTATAGAGCCTAATAAATGAGCAGAACGAATGTGAGAGGGTTTCAAAAAGTTCTTGGAAAAATTAGGATGAAAGGTAATTGAATTTTTTCATACTCTTTTTAAAGCTCCTTTGAAGCTTTTAAGATCTAGTTTTGCTGCCTCTTAGGCTACATTTTTCAAATGGGAAAAGCTTAAATGCGCTAAGTTGATACTTCTATCCATGTTGCAGTGAAGATCACCTTCATGTAAAGTTAGGACTGGAAATCTCGACACACTAAAAGTTAACATTGAGGCAGCTAAGGGATTGCCTGCTAGCAGTGCGTACTCTGAATGCCAGTACCCTTCACTCAAGGACAATCTGTAGTTCAGTGTGAAAAATGATCCCATTGTAACTTTCCTGAAACAGGACCCACGCCATAAAATTGTAGAATTACTGCTGATTTTCTATACACATGAATTCCTCACCACGTTTGGTGATAAAATTAGACAGATGTAATGTCTTCAGAGCGCATTCACCAGCTGTTTGTGTGATTGTGTCTCCTGGCGGGACTCTAGCTCCATAATTGTAGCTAAAATCCCAGTCTCGTCAGTTCATGCACTCATGAGTTACTGGGTGCACATCTTTGATGTAGGCTCTGGGATTACAGCTGTGACTACAACAAACAAAACCTGTGCCCTCTTGAGATTGCGTTGTAGTGTAGGGAGACTGACAGAGAAGTAAAACAATATATCATTTGGTGGTAACAAATTGAAATTGAAGGGGTGAGATAATAGTTTGTCAGTTGCTTAGAGGAGAAAGAAAGTGACATTTCAGCAAAGATCTTAAGCAGAAAGGGAGTCTGCCTTGCTGTTATTGGGGGATGTGTGTCGGCAGAGGGAAGAGCAAGTTAGAAGCATGCTTGTCTTGTGTAGTGGCAGTAACCTCAAGTAGGTCAGTGTGGCTGAAGAGAGCAGCCGGACGTGAAGTTAGAGCAGTGCCCAGGGAGTGCCCAGAGCATGCAGAGCGTCAAGGCCACAGCAAGGACTTGTGGTTCTTACCGCAAGTGAAATGGGAAGCCTCTGAAGGTTTTGATCTGACTTTTAAGATTTACATTTAATTTTAACAGGATGAAGAAGAGCCCAAGGATGAAGATTTCAGCCCTGATGGGGGTTATATTCCACGGATCCTTTTCCTGGGTAAGATAGATTTTCATCCGGTGTGGAAGAGAGAAATGTATCAAGGCACTGACTCTACCTAGTACAGCTATCCTGAGATGACAGCCCCAGTGATACATTGCAATGGGGGTGGGAGGTGGGGGCGTAATTTCTGAGTGTCAGAAATGCACATTTGGAGGGAAACTTTCCCCGTGCTTTTGTGATTAATGGTAGATTGTTAATTATCCATTTATTCATTCAGCGGTTGTTTGAGTACCATATACATCAAGCACTGTGGTAGGTAATACAGGGGCAGAGATGAGCCACAATTCCCATCAGTGAATCCATAGTTCCACTAAGACAATAGACTTGAGAAGAGATTTAGGCCATGCAATAGTAGCCCTGGACACACATCTGCAAAAGTTTCCAGCAGGTATCTGTTCAGGAGCTCTGGTGGTGCAGTGGCTTAAGTAGTTAGTTGCTAACTGAATGGTTGATGGTTCAAATCTAACAGTTGCCCCGTGGAGAAAGATGAGGCAATCAGCTTTCATAGAGATTTACACACTTGGAAGCCCTCGGGAAGAGTTTTACTCTATCCTATAGGATTAGTGTGAGTCCATTGGCTTGAGAGCAGTAGACTTGGTGGGGTTTTTTTTGGCATTTTTTTACTCAGGATTTTTTAGTTCTATGGGTGTACCAATGAAAACATAGGATCCGGCCATCTTCAGGAAGAGGTGATGCTATGGACTATTGCTCAGAGACCTGCAGGGAGTTCTCTGTGTTCCACAGTGCCAGGGCTGGGTGCAAAGATAGGAAGACCCCATTCCCGGAGGTCCTTGAGTACCATGTAGCATTTAAAATACCTCTCGAGAGCTTTGCCCAAGAGCTGGCGCACCCTGGATTTGGTCCTCTAAGCTACTGGAAAGTAAATACCTGTTGAGTAAAGCTGTCCACTTGTATTTCTATTACAGATAACGAGGACTCTTGATATTCCATTAACAAACACAGCTGTAGGGGGCAGACGCATTGACTCACACTTGGTAAAAAATGCAACTCATCTAGACCTGCATGGACATTGGAGAGAAGTCAGCAGTCAGAAGGTTTAGAATATTCTTAGCACCCATTAGCATGTTTGACAGAGGCTATGGAGCCCATGTTTAATCAAACCTGGCAAGTTTATTTCGTAGACATCTACAATTAGCTACCACTGAAAATTGATCATTTAATGTTTATCATTACTTTTTTCTTCTCCAATTGAAAGCCATAAATACTTATGGAAATACTAAATAAAAAGATTATCAAAAGAAAGTAAATAAATAAAATACTTCTTTGTTGTACTTACTGCAACTCAGTGACATTTTTTTCTATGATAGATCCCAGTGGCAGGGTGCGTCCAGAAATCATCAATGAGAACGGAAATCCCAGCTACAAGTATTTCTACATCAGTGCTGAGCAAGGTACAGTTCTGTTGAGAGAGAAGGAGAAGGTAGCTGCCAGATTTAAATAAAATGAGAGCTGCATGCAAGGTCTTTAATAGGAATCTCAATTCAACATGTTAGCTGAACCTCTTGCGTGAGTCACTCTTAACTGGATCCTAAAGAGGATACAGGAGAAAAATGAGACTGAATGCCTTCCCCTAGTGACTTAGAATTAAGTCGAGGGCCTAACTGATCCACAGGAAACTTACTGCCTGTGACCTCCCAGTTAATAAGTCGCAAAGCCAGGGTTTGAGTCTAGAACTTACCATAGTTGTTTGTTTCCATCATACTAACACTACTGTATAACTATAGGAATTCAGAAGAAAGAGAGTACTGTTAGCTGAGCATGTCTGAAGAGTTTTCTTAGATAGTAATGCTGAGCTGGACCTGAAAGGATAATAAGACTTTACCTCTATGGACAGATTAGAGAAGGGCCTTTCAGGCTGCAAACTGGGGAGCAGGGGCGGGTGGATTCCAACATGGAGAGGAGTACCTAAGACTGGCTGGAGGAGATGATGACAGAGTGGAGTCCACAAGAATGAGAACGAGCCAGCAGAAGGTGAAAACACGTTCCAGGCAGAGCAATGGCATCAGCACATCCCGATGAAGGAAGGTTGAATTCCTGAGTCAACCTGGCCGTCCTGTTCTCCAACCCTTGAATGCAGTCATTCTAGAGGCAAGGGTTGGAATCCATGTTCTGCATAGACTGTTACCATTTTCCTTCCAAAGTATATCTTCCCCCTCCCCCTCGCAAATCTGTAAAAAGTCTTTGCTAAATTACCATATATTTACCTCACTACCCCCACCCTCTAACCTCCCCCTGTCTCCCATGCTTCTGGAGTGTATGTTTTGAGCCCTTAGGACTCTTGTTTCTCAGAATGGGGAGAAGGAAGGGATCTAGGGAGGCTATCCTTCCACGGAGATTGCTAGTAGGGGAACATTTTCCAGATGAAGAAGGGCAACTGGACTTTCGCTCCCCCAAGTCCCTTGAGAGCCTCCTTTCCTTCAGGAGTTCCATGAGTCACCACTTTCATCTTCAGATTGGCATCCGTCACCCTTTTAACGTGTTAGTCCAAATGTGGATACGTGATTCTTCCCTGAATTCATGGTTCAGTTGACATGAAACTGACACTTTCAAACTTGGCTTTATTTAGGGCTTGAGCAAAATAAAAGGGAGCCAATAATGAAATGAACTGGCCCATAAGGCTTGTTTTTCAAGATTCACAGACTGACTCAACCCAACCTCTAGGCCACCACTGTATAGGGTACTGTTGTAGAATCACCACTCGAGGTCCTGTGCCTTCCAGCTGTCCCACTCATGCCTCCTTATCTCCAGGCTCCCTACGGCTCTACTTCAAGGTTTCTTTGTGTGTGCATGCGTGTTCTGTGTGTGTATGTGTGTGTGTGTCGTTTGCTTTTTTTGCCTTTGGAGACCTTCCTTACACACACACATGCATACAGCAGTAGAAGTTGTATTCACTATAGGAAATTATATAAATACCACATTCAACCGAAAGATACAATAGGGATAGTAGAAAGATGTCCCAGATTCCTTCAGTCAAGTGAACATCTGTAGTCTAAGATAAGGGATCAGCTCTAATCGTAGAGGGTAAGCCAGAGTTAGAGTAACATTTTTGTAGGGCTTCATAGCTTATAAAACACCTTTATTCCCATCCTCATTTAATTTCTATGGTAGTCTTGCATGAGATAAACAGCATTATCTCATTTTATAGATGAGGGAAACAAATCCCAAGGGGTAAAGGACATGCCAATGCTAAAATCCAGAACTAGCTCTTGAGGCCGGATCTTGTGCTCCTCTCATATTCCTCCTAGAAAATTACGAACATGCATCGCGGCTCAGATCTCAGAAAATAACACCCTGATTCATACTTTTTTCTGCTTTGGTTCCACAGTTGTTCAGGGGATGAAGGAAGCTCAGGAGAGGCTGACGGGTGATGCTTTCAGAGAGAAACATCTTGGAGATGAATTGTAATGTGAATGTATCCCTTTCATCAACACTAGTATTCTGGAAGGAAAGCAGCAGGAACAGTAATCTTGAGGAAATGCCCTCAACGCGGTCGGAAAACCTTATTCTACCTACACTGGAAGGAGGTCTCTCACTGTGGGGAAGTTCTGCTCACAAGCTGGTCCCCATGTTTGTGAGGTAGCCAGTACAACGGACTTCCCTCTGCCCTCTCGTTCCCAAATGCCATTTTGTCATTGAATGTAAAGAATGAACCCTTTTGGCACACATCTTAAGCCCTAAGAGTCACGCGGAGGTTTATTCTTCACACTTAAGTATTTGAATTTAATTCTTTCCCCCCATTTCCTCCCACTTCACCTTCATGGTTAAAGGAGGCCAGTAACGTCTTTTTTAAAATGTAAAAATTGTTGACATAGCTTATTAACTTTTAAAAATAACAAGTGGTCAACATGAATCAGTAATCCAGCCCTCTACTGAGGATAGCGGCCTGTTGCTTCCTTCTGGGGCCACTCTTGGGCATCTTGCTGAATTCCTGTGACATCCTTCCTCTTCACCTGCTTGGCCTTCCCGGCTGGCAGGAATGACTGTGTGGTGTGCTCGGCCTCAGCCCCACTGGAAGTGTGCATCCCCCTTGTTCCTGCTGGAGAAACGCAAACCTCAGTGGGGCCATTTTTTGTCAAGTCATCACCTGTATTTTTGTACCAGGGTTAACAAGTGGGGGGAGGGGAAATCGGTTGTTCCATTAAACTTTAATAAAACTTTAAAAGGACATGTGTCGTGATGGCCTTTTTGTTGATAGAGAATGGAAAGGAGGCTGGAGATCACTTCAGGAAAGAAACGAATGTTGAGGCAGCCTAGACCCCGCGCCCCCTTCAGTCTACTTTTTCCATGCTGTGAGTTCTCTTGACCCTGGCTATCCTTGCTGCAGTGAACAGGCCTTTCCCCAGAATGAATTGAAGCCATTTCTTGACTTGTACCTGCACCCAGCATAATCTCTTAAACATCCCTCACTTTCCCCTAATGGTCTTTTCCAACTGCAAATGCAACCTGCTACTTCCCTAGTTCAGACCCTTCAGAGGCTTCAGGCCACCTTTAGGCATACTGGTAGCACCATGGATTAAACCTTGGGCTGCTAACTGCAAGGGCAGCAGTTCAAACCACCAGCCACTCTGATGGGAGAAAAATGGTGGTTCCTATGAAGATTTAGTCTCAGAAACTCAAGGGAGCAGTTTTCCTCAGTGTTGACTGGAAGGCAGTGGGTTTGCTTGGATTTTTGTTTGTTTTCAGAATAAAGCGGTCGTATTAACAGCAAATACTTGCACTTTGGAATATGCCTAGCACTCTCCCAAGTGTTTCATACCTTTTTTTCTGTTTGTCCTAACAGTCCTGTAAGAAATAGGACTTTTTAGTCAAGATGGCACTGAAAGCAAAAAAGGAGACTCTGCCCCTCCCAAAACAGAAGCCTTAAAGGCCAACAAGGCCATGCCAAAAGGTGACCACAGCCACACAACAGAAGATACCACATCACCCACCTTCCAGTGCCCAAGACCCTGAGGCTAAAAATATAGCCAAATATCCTCAGAAGAGCACCCCAGGAAAAGCAAGCTGGACCACTGACATCATCATCACTGTGCCGTTCCCCTCGAATACCAAGTCCGCTATGAAGAAGATCAAAGATAACAAACTTGTGCGCATTGTGGATGTCAAGGCCAACAAACACCAGATCAAACAGGCTGTGCTAAAGCTCTATAGCCAAAGTCAATCAAAAATCACCTTGAACAGGCCTGCAAGATAGAAGAAAGCCTGTGTTCAACTGGGTCCTGATTATGATGCTTAAGATGTTGCTTACAAAATCAGAATCATCTAATCTAAACTGAGTCCAGCTGCTTAATGCTAAATATAAACTTTTTCAACACACACACAAAAGAAATAGATATTGCTATAATAATGCCTATTTTACAGGAGAAGAATTGGAAGCATAGGAAATAAAGGCATGGAATCGTCAAGATCTCTAAGGTGACCTTTAAGATGTTGCCTGCCTCTTCAACATCTCTTGTTCCCATTTAAGTTTTTGCAGTTCGTGTTGTAATGGCAACAAATAGCTTCACGTTTCCTTCAGAACATACTGTTTTATGCTTTTGTATCTTTGTTCAGCCTGCTCCCTGTGACTAAAACATGTTTTCTTGCTACTTGTCTTTCACAGCCCATTTTGAACCACCTCTTCTAGAGTCTTCCCTAACCTTACCCATAGAGCTAAAATGTTCATTGTCTAGTGTATAGGTTCCCAATTTTTTCCAAAATTTACTTGGCCTACCATCCACTTCCCAGGGGGAAAATTTTTTTGTTTTTTTGTTTTTTGTTTAGTGCCTCCTTGGCAATTAAAAACTTGTGTACTCTAGCCCATAATCCAGGATAAAGTGTAGGTATCTGCTTTTGCAGCTCCCCCTGCATGGCTCCAAGACCCTCCAGGGGATGATATTCTTCACTTTGGGAAATGCTGCTCTAGTTAGTGCACCTGTTGTCCTGCACCACATTAGCTAGCCACCATGAGATAACCGTGCTCCCCCAAGGGCAGAGACTGTAGATTCTTCTCTATGTGCCAAGTGTCATCATTGATTATTTTCATATATAAGCCTCATTTTACAGAAAAGGAACTTCAGAGCAAAGTGACTTGCCCTTAGTTCCTAAACTAAGTAAACAATTATCCCAAGCACACTACCATCTTCCTCCAAAATTCATACACTGGAGGAGATCGAAATTTGTGCCCATCTCAAAGAAAGGTGATCAAGGGATACAGATTATTGAACAATGTCATTAATATCACGCAACTTTTTTGCTAAATATAATTTTTAAGCGGTTGCAGCAGTACCAAGTCAAAAACACTATCAAGTTAATTTCCACTTAAGGTGACCCTTCAGTACATAACAGATAACAAAAAGGACAGGGAACAAAGAATATCATTTCTGATAACAAACGAATCTTGACTGAAAAAAGAATACCAGAAAGATCTTTGCCTGTGTTTAATTGATGTTGATTTGAGTGAGTGGATGATAAGATAATTATGGGTAAAATTGAAAAGAATTTAAATTCTAGAACACTTAATTTTGCTAATATGGAACCTATACATAGACTCAGAGGCAGTTCTAATGGAACAAGGGGATGTGCCATGGTCTAAAAGGTGTAGTCAGGGTTGTACCTTTCACTGTGGTCAATCTGCATGCTGAGCAAATACTTTGAGAAGCTGGACATGTGTAGGAGAATGTGGCTTCAAGACTGGCAGAAGGCTCATCAACAACTTGCAATATGCAGTTGACACAACCTTGTTGAAAGAGACTTGAAGCATTTACTGCTGAAGATCAGACTACAGCCTTCAGTGTGGATGCAACTGAACGTGGAGAAAATAAAAACCCTCACAATTGGACCCATAGACAGGCTCATGATAAATGGAGAAAAGATTGATGTTGTCAAGGATTTCATCTTGCTTTGATCCTCAGTCAATACTCATGGAAACAGAAGCCAAGAAATCATGACCTATTGCACTGGACAAAACTGCACAAGACCTCTGGAAAGTGTTCAAAAGCAAAGATGTTACTTTGAGGACTTGAGGTGCACCTGCCCCCAGCCATGGTCTTTTCAGTTGCTTGCCATGTGGAAGTTGCACAGTGAGTAAGGAAAACTGATAAACTGATGCAGTGTTCATAGGACCGCTATGAGTTGGAATCAGCTCACCAGCACCTGACAGCAACACGTTTTGCTAGAGTACTACCATCTGTGGGCTCACTGAACACCTTATTTAACATGATGGTATCTCATTCACTATTGCTACTGAGCAAGAAAGCCACTTTCCAGTGAAGCTTCAGCGGAGGCCTCAATGGGAACTGTGGGTAAGCAGGCAGATGGCAGAGGATTAGAAGTCCATTTTGCTGGTGTTATCTAGCAAGTGTGGTATGAGTTTGGAGCCGACAGTTCTAGCAGCAGCTTCCTGATCTATACTTTGCCGCTGTAACAATGTGTTCAAGGAAGACACAGGAGGTGCTCCAGAAGGACCTCTGATCCCTCCCAGAAAAGGACTCCAGGGTTAAATAAATGTGGACAGCAATGCATCCCTATGAATGGTTTCCATATTCCCAAAACGTGGCTAAGGTGATCACCTGGAACCAGAACCTGGGAGACAGATTTCTGATACCCCACCTTTCTGATTGACATAAAGTTTTTACTTCCCTCCGCAGAGAAGGTACAATGTTGTTCAAAGTGTCATTGCTTCTGACTTCTCCAGTCTGCTCCAGGCTATCTGCTTCTCCAGTCTGCTCAGTGCTTTTTGTTTTAAGCTTCTAATTCTCTACTTCAGAGCCCTGGGTTTCTAACTACCAGGCCAGCAATTTAAATCCACATCAGGAGAAAGCTGAGGCTTTCTGCTCCT